AATCTTAATGGTTTTGTATGGGCTTTTAAGAAAACACCTTCCTTCAGACAAGGCGATCAAGTATGATGACACATATTGTCAGATGCTGACATCTTGTGGTGGAGTAAAGACCTGCGTTGTGAAATCACAGGTGTTTCTATGGCTACAGCAAAGTGGTGGAAGCACTGTGTTGTTAACAGCTGGGTTAGTGATGGGCTGGGCAGAGGATAAGCCTGCAGTTTAATAAGGACTCTTTGGAATAGTGTCGATATATTGACATAGGTTCATATTTGTTAGGCTCAGAGCAACAAACTGGAATCAGTGTTTCTTTTTCTTCTCTTCTTTTTTTCCCCCTGGTTCCTGTATTTTGACTTTCCATACATGTAGTCACATTCACAATAAATCAGTCTGTTAAATCAGTCCGTCAAACAGCTGTCTCATTCTCATACGTTACAATATAAGATATATCTTGTGCATGCAAAGAATATGCACAGACTCTTGTCCTCACACAGGTGCGTGCACACTCCCACACAGACAACAAAGAACAGTTCCTCTAGCACAATTACAACGAGCGCCGTCATTCGGCCTCCTCGATGGTTGTCATGGAGATGTCATTGATAAGGTGGACAAAACAATTTTCTGCACATAACTAAAGAAAGTGCAGTTTCACCATGAATGTGCTTTTGCTGAATCAAACCTCCTATAATTAGTGAAAAGATAAATGCTGTGGCACTGGGTTGCTATAGTGCTTGGTTTCTGGTCGCCTTTTCACTAACTCTCCCGAGCTCTGCTGCTGCTGCTGCTGCTGCTGTTAAGGCAGCGTTAACCATTTCTTAGACGTGCCCGTCAACAAGCCTGCGTCCCCCTCTGTCATCATTTACTTTGTCCAATGAGCAAACATTATTTGAGAAACCTTGGCTGCTGCAGCTCCTGTCTCCTCTGGCTTGCTTTCACACACACACATACACACACTCAGCACTGCCTGGACACAGAGGACGTCAGTTGCAGTTCTGCCACAGGAACAGAACAGAACAGGAGCATAAATGTCTGCACGAGAGGATTAATCCTGACCGACTGGCTGGTGAGTAATATGGACATACAGCAGAAAAATTATCATCAGCTATTCTTCACAAAGTTTGTAATTTAAGAGAGAAGAGTGGTTGAGAACTCGGAAGCCAACTGAATGTTTGGATGATGTTCGGTTATTTCCTTGAATGTGTCACTTCTTGATGTGCTCATCCTGTGCATCCAACATGTAAACCATGAACACAGAGTGGCATGACACACACACACACACACACACACACACACACACACACACACACACACACACTAAAACACATTATGATTGTGAGAGGGCTCTTGTGAAGGATTGAAGGATTGCTGAGAGGAGGCTGTTTATGTGAGGAGGAGAATGTCCTCACTCTGCAGTCTGCAGGTATGTTGGAAACAAACAACTGCAATGTACTGCACAATAAATGCATGTGATGTACATAGAATCCAGCTTCTAAATATAAGGACAATGGTTTGATGGGAAACTGTGATTGTACAGTTTGAGGGTGTTTACCTGCACATCTGATGTAGGAAATGTCGCCCTGTTTGTAGGATACTAACCCAAGTATTAGCTGCTCCAATGATTGTTGGAGAAGAATCATTTTGTGTCATCATACCTTAATGCACAAAACAGCTACAACAGAATGGTCTAGAGCTGATGCTAGGTTTCAACACCACTGAAACTATCAAATCAGAGTGAATCCTACAGAGCTTATTGAGTGATGAAATCAGAAGTAGAAAGTGCTCATGCTGCACCTATAGATAACGTACTTGCATAACTTCATTTTATTAAATATTGTACCTTTAACTGCACTGGATTTATCTGACAGCTTTAGCTACTTTCAAATCCTAAATGAGAATATGTGAAATATGTGTCGTTATACTTTTTATTAGATCACCTCAACTAAACAACTTCACTGCATCAGTAACTATTATCCAGTAGTTATATAACGATATAACTCTGACTGTATTCAGGTCATTGTTCCTGAATTGTGGCTACTTTAAGGACATTTTGCTGCCAATAATGTACTTTTACTGAAGTAGAGCTGTGTTAGTAAGGGAGTATTTTTGTGGTAGTATTCCTACTTGAGGATGTGAATTCTGCAGTAAAAGATTTACTGTTAAGAAGTAAAAATGCACTGGTGAGTTTAGAAATTGTGTTTGACCCTGTAGGTCCCAGAAGGATGAGCACTTGCTTGTGTATTCAAACCCTCTGTACACTAGGGTAGGTTCAGATGTGTGTGCAGCCACGCCAGCAGCCTTGTGAGGCTGAACCTGATCGACACTGTGGTTTTATATAGTTACATGCTCACCACGACAAGGCCAACATGATGTTCAGCAGGTATTAAGGTTACCATGGTCACTGACTTGTTTTGGTGTGTTAACACACCACGAAACACAAAGTACGGCTGAGGTCGATTTGTTTGTCTTGTGCTGTGTTGGACAATGTCATCCTCAGGGAAACATGAGCATCTCACACAAATGGCAATTCTTTCAACAGCTTCAACATTTTTCACAAAACCCCACAAATCCCAACCTCTAATTGGTGCTCCAGAAAAAAATCAGGGGACACCAGTGTCACCAGGAGTCATCCTCTGAATATATGTACAACGTTCTCTGCAATGGTTGAGATATTTCAGCGTGGACCACAGTTGCAGAGCTGATTGAAATGGCCATTTGTAAAACTAAAAACTACCACCATGAGAAGAATAAAGTGTTTAAATGACTCAATGTGCAATGGTGGTGGGAGGATTAAAGAGTTGATTGAAAAAATGAAAATATAATTTATGAATTCAAACCACCCCCACCTCACGTGTTCAACATGGTGCAGGTGGTGTTTTGTGTCTGACGTGTGTGGCTGCCAGCAGAAAGAGCTCAGTGGTTTTCAGTGATGGCGTGACTGCAGACGGCAGCAGCAGGATGAAGCAGAGGACGTGAAACATGGCAAAATAATGATTCCGTAAGAAAACACGGCCAAGACAGTCTGGGAGCTTCTAGAGCCGCACAGTGGAATGATATGGATTCACCAAATGTAAAGGGGTATAATGTCTGCTGTGGCTCTGGAGGGGCTTTGTAAAGTCAAAGGAAATAACCCTGATGTCATTCTGCGGTTTTCACAACTATCTCTGCATCTTTTTGTCGTCTTCACGCTGTTTTTTTCATGTTTGCATTTTCCATCTTGTCTTCATCCTGTTTTTTGTCAAGTCACCACATGAGGTAATGTTGTAATTTATGTCTGCCTGTCCGCAGGATTACGACTGAATCAACTGCTGGGACATTTTGTGGAGGGGTGGTACGCGACCCAAGGAAGAACCTATTCAATTTAGGACTGGACCCACAGTCTTATAAAGTTACTCTGCGCTATAAGTTAGACGTCCATTTCTGTCAATCATTGATTAGAACAGGCATCAATGAGCCACACCTCTCTATGGTAACTGTAAAATACAAATCACAGATGTTGCAGGTCCCGTCTTCTCAACCTCAGACACTCCAGCGCCCTCTGCAGATTTAAAATAAAAAGCTTAAAGAACCTAGAATTTCCATCCAGGTACTGACCAGTCTCTGCTTGGATTCCAGGTTCAGATGTGTGGAGGGTGTGGAACAGTGAGCATTTACAGGTCATGTATGCAGGTGCTTTACATGTGCCATAAAATCCTAACTAGTCTGCACTGTTTTAATTTTATGTTTCCACTGCTGTCTTATTTCTGCACTTTTCATCTTATCTTTGCACAACTGTCATGTTTTGTCTCATGTTTTTATCTTTTAAATTCTTAAATTAAATGATTTTGTTTTGTTCTAGCTCCTCGTGTTGTTTCAATGATAAAGACGATAGTTTTCATTCTTACTGTTTATTGCATGGGTTGACAATAAAGTTCTCTTCATATTGTCCAACAGTAACAAACTGCAGATATGGGATTTCAAAGGTGAAATTGTCTAATGAAATAGTATGTTGAGCTACATATGGATAATAACTATAGGGTATTCTTTTAGGTCAGATTTTTGCTCCATCTATTATTAAAAAATGTTTCTTGTAAACTACATCTCACATGTGCTGCCCTTTAAATAGGACTTAAACTGAAACTCTATGGCTCAGACAAATATGATATATCAGGTTTTAGACCCCACACATGATGCATTTTTGATTGACTAATTTACTATGGGTCTTGTATAAAAAAGTAACACACACACACACATAAACTAAATGACTGTTTTTACTTTGCATACCACCTAAAATGCAAACATAATCACAATCAGTTCTGTTTTGTGTAAATTTCTGTTTTCTGATTTAAATTGTTGCCGTTTTTCAGTTTCACAGTTTGTGACTCATGCAGAAAAATGTTATGTTACTGTCGCAGACATTGGTAACCCACCTCATCTGCTCTTGTAAAAGGATCCAAGGACAAACAGGACAAAGGCTGATAGAAAGTGCTGCCTCTGCTGGTGCTGCAGATCAGGAGCGTGTGAAAAAGAACTGTCCATTGGATCCCATCTGCAAGAAGAAAATGTTCTGCCTTTGCAAACCACTAACTAATGCACAATAATGTCAATATGTCAATATTTTAAAATGCGAACTGTCTATTCGTCTAGTTCCTACTGGTGACGCAGGACAAAATAACAGGGGATTAACAAAGACAGACCTGAGCTCAGCATGAGACAAGATTTTGTTGAAAATACTTTGAAAGAGGAAGAGGCAGAGGGGAGTTGATACAGTGCAGAAATTCACGCATGGTTGTTTGTGTACATGTAGGGTTCAGGAAACCATTTAGTGTATGTGCATGTAGCTGTACGAGGCAGAGGTGTAACGTGCTTACCTGAGGTTTCAGAAATTCCATAATCTCATGCTGTCTATGAAAATAATAAAGTGCACACCTCTTCTACTTTCCCATAATTTCCTACATACTTTTTGTTATTATCCACAGAAACCTGTCTTACTCCATTTACAAATTCACTCGCTGGGACCAGGAGGGATGGAGGGAGAAGGCTGTAATTCGGGTGTAGCGATGGACTCAGGTAACCCCTTACTGAGAGCCGTTTTCCTCCGTCGTCTGCGACTCACACGGCTGCTCCTGGAGGGGGGGGCTTACATCAATGAAAGCGACAGCCAAGGCCAGACCCCCCTGATGGTGGCCTGCAGGACCCAGCATGCAGACGCCCAGAGTGCGAGCCGGGTCAAACTGGTCCAGTTTCTGCTGGAGAAAGGAGCAGACCCCAACATCCAGGACAAAGAGGGTCACTCTGCACTGATGCACGCCTGCCGCGAGCAGGCCGGCCCTGAGGTGGTGTCTCTGCTCCTGGCCAGTGGAGCCGACATTAGCTTGGAGGATCAATCAGGGATGTCAGCGTTGGTCTACGCAGTCATGGCTGGAGACTTGAAGGTTCTGAAGCTGTTGCTTGACACTTGCAAGGCCAAGGGGAAGGAGGTGATCATCATAGCGACTGACAAATTCCCATGTGGACAACTGCTGGCAAAGCAGTACCTCAGCATGCCTGCAATTGGTCCTCTCGATCAGACAGACAAAATGGCATCAGCAGCTCCTGCATCTCCCTCTGAAATACAGATCATCACCTCCCCTCAGTGCACCTCCTCCTCCTTATGTCCCCCAAAGCCTGTCTTCTCTTTTAAAGAAGTCCAGTCCTGCGGTGTGAGCTCCCATCCATGTTCCCCAGCACGGTCTCGAGGATTCGGCCAAGTGTTGGCAAACGGACTGCAGCAGCCCCTGCTGAGGTTGAACTCTGAGCCCTGGCTAAAGATCCCATCTTCTCTGCTCACTCAGCAATCTCTTGCAGCCTCGTCTTCGAAAAATGGCCACGACTTCAACCAAACTGACAACATCTCTGTTAAAGTTCCCATACTGGAAAGGGATAAAAAAGTAGAAGGTGAAAACAAGAAAGACTACAATAAACAAGCCAGACAGAAGATATCTTTACCAGGTCTTCTTTCACCCCACTCTGCCTCCCATCCTAACCTCCACTCTGAGAACCTTGGAACAGATTCAGCCTCCTCCTCTTGCCTGTCTGGTGGCAAAAACCATCGTACTGCACTTCACAACATGGCCTCCTCAAGCCTTCATAGCATCATTCAGAGGCGCAAGCTGGGTGCAGACATCTACAGCTCTGACCCTCAGCTTTCTGCAGACATCCAAAATCTCCCAACAGACACCAAGAAGCTGGCCCCCTTACGTTGCTCCAGAGAGTCATTGCTGACCTTGGGTCCAAGCAGGAGAGTGCTGTCCGGGTATGAGCGCAGAGGGTCCGCTGCCTTCTTGTTGGACCACAGTTCTCAGGCCAGACCAAGGTCTCTGCCCCCTCTGACCCTCAACTCCACCAACGCTCCTGTTCTCAATGTTTGCAACTTAGAAGCCGGAGCTGGAGGAGGTTTCTCTGAGAAAGAGTCTGACCTACAAAGATTCCTCCCCTCTGCTCCTCCGGGCCACCCCAAAGAGCTGACCAGGAGGATGCTACTGAGGAGACATTCAATGCAGTCTGAACAGTTCAAAAGCACAGCCTGAAATTCAGCTGAAAGAAAAAAAAGGTTCATTTTGAAAGTGAAATGTGTTAAAATCATGTGATGTCATCTCTGTAGTGAAATTCAAAGAGTAAGTACAAAACAATCCACTGCTGCTCCAGTGTGTGTTGTGTTGTCACTGTACAAGTAGCTTCAGCCTATATGTAACTCGTACTTAAAGATGCATAAAGATCTTTTGGCCACTAGGGGGCAACAGAAAAAGCTGAAAACACATGTTATAAAGTTGCAAGATTAGGATTAATTTAGCTTTCACCGAAGTCCGTCTGTTTTTATGTTTGGGAACAAGATTACACAAATACAATCTCCATGAATCTATGTGGAAGGATGCATTATGGGTCAGGGTATAACCCACTGAATTGTGGTGAGGATCTGAGTCAGGGGGCAGATCCAGGAATGTTTTGTATCACTTTCTGTAACACTGTGAGATGTGTTTTTCAAAGGTTTCTGTGATTTCTTGGAGAACAATTCATGGATCGTGATTCATTGAACTTTTAAATGTTGTTTAAAGGGGAGTTTTCAACTTCGATTTTGTTAAGCCTGTGGAGTTTTGTGGTAAACAAACACGTTTCCAGTCAGTTTCAAAGCTCATTTATTCTATTTATGTTTTGCAGATGCAAATTTTGAAACCTGCATTGCTAACTTCCAAATTTGCTATGAGTCTTCTCCTGCACTGCTTTTCTTGGCGCCACCTCTTGATCAGAGGCGTAAATTTGTATCGTCATGTGTTCTTGTATGTGTACTTCTTTTCGAATGCTTCCACATTGCGCCAAAGTTGCATTCGAAGAAAACAAGACCAGAATGCAAACAGTTTGAAAATTATGAAAGCTTTTATGCATCGTGGCTTTAAATCAAAAAGATGTTTTAGATTATTAAGACATTTGCTAAAGGACCTAATCCCCTCCCAACACACACACACGTCAGCTGCATCACAAGCGAGTTGGTATTTGGGGAGAGCAGAAGTACAGATGTGTAACAACAGCAACAACATGTGTTTATTAATTGAATTTATTCTGATAAAAAACATCACAAGTGATTGTCAAAGTACATCAGTATGTATAATAACATCAATAAAAGCATCATGTGTCTGAAACACACTGAACACATGTGAACTTACTTTAAGCAACTGCTAAAAACATTAAAAACATAAGTGTTTCCCAATTATTTACATGTTTATATTGCTGATAAAAAAAAATGAGTGGATTAAAAATGAGGATTAAAAGATTTTAAAAATCAAACAGGGATTTGCATATAGTCCACAATCTAGTAGCAGAACTCCTCTACTAGACTACTATGTTTCGATCACACTGAGTAAAATAAATACAGAAAACAGTACCTATGTCACGAGACGCTCATAATACAAACAGCGGCATAATACCAGACAGAATAATGTTCTGTCCTTCCAAAGTAAAAACAACCTTTGCAGAGTTTCAACAGCAATCAGCTCAAACACACTTAGGAAGCTTCCGCGTTCGATGTAGCAGCTCCGTCCTCTACAGTCTGCTACGGTCCCAAAACTCTCCAAGCTGTCACGTCGAGACAGGGGTTCAGTCCCCCCCTGCCAGATTTTGTTCAGGCCCTGTGATCATAATCACTGACCATCTTCTTGATGTGGTTCAGTTTGGACTTCAGATATTTACACCTGCGCTTCTTCATCTGATAATCTGCAGACTGTGGGGGGGTGATTGAGAGTGTGTTAGAAAAAACGAATAAGACCAATAAGAGTATTAGTTATGTGATGGACACTGCCATGTTAAATCATTTTACATGCTATTTATGACCAAATGTACCTTTTTGATGGTCTTTATCCTGTTGTACTCATCCAAGGCATCCTGTTAGAGGGCATGGACAATTAAAAATGACATGAACCCACGTGATCTCACGTTTAGATGCATAGATTTACTGGACAGTTTGTTGCATAGTTTCCTGTAAGCTCTCACCAGGTACTGTGGGCTCCCCTCCTCCAGGTCGTCCAGCTCTCTGTCCACATCTGACAGATTCTTATTGATGGCGTCCAGCTCCGCCTGCAGGTCCTTGTACTCCTGGTGTTCGCGGTCGAATTCATGCTTGTAGTCGTTGCGGTCCTTCTCGTTCACGATCAGAGGAAATTCACTGAAGCAGAAAATAAGTGGAAAGAGAAGGAAATGAAAGAGGGAAAATAAATTGCAAAAGGGAAACAATATGTCAAAGCAATTAAAGAAGACCACACTTGGAGTTTGCAGTGGTGGGAAGAAACTAAATAAAATTGTGAATTACTTGTACTTTACTTGTTTATTTCCATTTTTATGATTTGTTACTTTACGCTTGACGTCATTTTAGAGTTAAAGGGATAGTTCACAGAAAATTTAAAATTCACTCATTATCTACTCACCATTATGCCATTCAGACATAATAAAACAGAAAAACACAACATGTCTCCATACTGCTCATGTGGTGTCATCCAAGTGTCCACAAGCCCCGACATTCATATTTGACTTAAAACAGCGTCAGTTACACTGTGTTATAAGCCTAAAAGTCCACTACAGGAAGTAGCGATACTTATGCGCACCCCACGCGTGCCCTTGAGCGAGAGCAGTGTGATGACACAACAGGAGCAGTAAAGAGACGTTGTGTTTCTTTCTGTTGTTTTTTTCTGAAGAAGTGGTCACCATTTGCTTCAATTGTATTGGATTTGGTTGCTACACTGTTTAACCCTGGATCTCCAAAAGTGTTTTGTGGACTCAAACACTTCACCCACCACTCCATTGGCAAAGTGGTGAGGAAATATTGAGTACATTTTAATTTTTTGGTGAACTATCCCTTTAGTACTTATTACTACATGCATCTGATCAAATTATCAGTACTCTGAGAACATTTTGCATTGTGCAAACATATCTTCAATTTTACAAATTAATCTACGTCATGTTTTGAATCCTAAAATTCATCTATTTTTTTAAGCAAATGGGGAACATTTTTTATTTTAAACAAGCCATCCTTTATTCTTATGCAAGAATAAGATTCTCACACTAATTTCTAAAAAGTTCTTAAAACAAGTTTTTTCTCAGAGTTAAATTAATCAAACTAGAATTTTCACTTATGTTGCAATAAAAGACTCAATAATGAATCTGTTCTTTTGCAGTGCAGTATGATCATCATATAAAATATTTGAAATCAGCTCTACTTTGCTCAGGCATCATTAAAATGCAGATTACACAGGGACACAGGACTTGTATCAGGGTATTTTCACACAGTGGTATTACTTTCGTTTAAGTGACAACGTGAGACAATGTGTCCAACATTTTTGAAAGGTAGCTGCAAAACTAACTTTTAATAAAACTGTGTCAAAGTTTGCTGCTTGTTTTTGACACCGACAGGCTCAGATTATTTCTAAAGACTGATAACAATATGGCTCTGTTGCCTAAGGGACGGACTGCTGTGTTAAAGAGTCACACCCTTTTGTTTGGACACAAACAACAGCAGTTGGGCTCTGTTCAACACCGGCCTCCACTGACAGAAGTGATTTTACCTCATGGAACACAGGAGTTTGTTTCCCAGAGTTAATCTTTAAAGAAAAGATCTGAAAACTGCCCCATATCAGAGAATCTTTCATATCCTCGTACCTGTCAAAATCATTTTCGTCCAGCTCGTCTCCTGAGGAGTTATAGTCGGTGTCATAGTCCTGTCCATCAGCGCGGCGAGGACGGCCCGCGCGCCTCCTCTTATGCCGTCCAGCCGAGCTGGCCACCTCTGAGTTACTGCTGTAGGGAGCCCCGTTCAGCAAAGGCGCATTGATTTCCACAGGAGGCCTGCGGAACAAACACAATCACAGTATTTACAATTCAATTAGCAGTTTCCTTCATTTAATCAGGGATGGTCCCTTTGAGCTTTCATGTCTCATTTTCAGGACAGCATCCACAACATATAGTTGCGGATAATGCAGAATATGATCTCTTTAAAATGGAAAATTTGATGTTTGAGTATATAATAATTACATAGATGATAGTTTCCAGTCAACTGTAAACTATCGTCTCTTTAATTTCATATCTTATTCTTATTCACATTTGAAATTCTTCTGAAGATCATTTCAGGGTTAGGGTTAGGGTTAGTTTATGAGTGAACAGGAAACAGTGCTGAGAAATCAAATCATTTTGAGCCACAAACAAAGACTTAAGTAGAATGGCACAATCTTTGTGTTGATTGAATCACTGAATGCAGCTCTACTATGGAATAACCAAAAACTAAAATGTAATTAACTATATGGTAATGAAACGAATGTGTTTTCAAAGTCAAATCAATATTAGTTTGTTTTATTTGTTCTTCTGCTCTTGGAAATCTTTCAATTTACTGCACCATGTTACAAATGATTGAAAACACTGTGCAGGACCAACGTTTCTCCAAAATCCTCGACAACCTGCGGCTGCAGAAAAGAGGCACAGGCGGGGTGGACACGGCTGCTACTGGAGACACCTTTGACATATCCAACAACGACCGTCTGGGCAAATCTGAGGTGAGGATCAGTCATGTTGCATTAAGAGATATTTTGTTCCTGCTGTTTATTTGTTTATGTTATTCAGGAACTTCATTTCCATCATTAGACTCATGAAAAGCCGATCTGAGTCACTGTTTTACTGTAGAAATGAACTTGAGAAGTGTAAAATGAATTTTCAGTTCAGTATGGGGTCCTTCAATGAGGCTCAGGACACATGTGATCTGAGTGATCAGATCTCAGATGTGTCTTTAAAGCGTCTCCGCTGTGTTCATGTCTGACCTCAGATCTGTCCACTTGTGATCAGATCCCTCAGGAAGTGTGTTTATACCAGGTCTGAACAGAGTTTATGTAAAACAACACGAGTTTAGTTTTGTCAACCTAAGCTCACTGAGCTCAGACTCCAGAGAAAACCCTCCTCATAGTTCTAGTTATTACATCATCACATGATAAAAAGATAGAAAGAATAAAATAATATAAAATACAAAAGTGTTTCTCTGAGGTGAGGCTACTGTAAGCTGAGCTACATTTCTTTCTTCCAGCTGGAGATGTTCTGAAACTGATGTCAAATGTTAGAGAGTGAAGGTGAATCAGAGTCAAACTTCACTACTCTCCAGTCACTTTCCTGCAGGATGAGGCCAAGTGCAGCCTGATTCATCGTGTGGCAGGAATTGTTGATCGAGTAAACAGGTCAACAGTGACGTCCTGTTTCCTTCAAGTCTGCATCGTTCTCTCGTTTCCTCCTCAGCACAAACATATTCCACATAGTTTCAGTGTAACAGGAAGATGTGACGCACCTCAAACACATTGTTTAGATGAGAGCTGAAACCGTTCGTTGATTAACTGACATTCTGAAATGATTGTAATTTTCTGTACTTGTAATGTTCTAACGTGGTACGGACCAAATTGTGAGATTTATCAAAATAATCATTCGTGTCAGCTCTGCCTCAGATTAGTGGGGAAGCTCTTTCTGTTTAACTGGTTTAAATAAATTATATATTCAAGCACAAGTTGCAGTTTAATTTACACAACATCAAGTATGTTGGTAGTTAAGTGGTTTATCGGCTTAAACTGATCAGTACTTCATGGGGATTTGTGGCACAAAAACGACAAAAACAAGCATGATCGGCATTTTGACACAAGAACAAGTTCCAGCACGCGTTCTGTTCTGACAGCGACTGTTTGAGGAAGGTCTAAAGCTGCCGTCAGATAGTCTGTTTATTCAACAACTTCAAGGCTATGGCCTATTTAACACAGGTAAACTTCATATGCTGGTTTATACTGGTCACCATTAGGATGTCCTCTGTGGGGTGTGTTGTCCCCCTGTGTTGAATTGTACCGTGATAGTCATTTATAGAATAGTGTCTAGTGGCAGTTAGTTGTCTCTTTATCCCCCTGTCAACAAGTCCTCTCTCTCTTGTCTGCAGCACATCATAGGACAACAGTGTCTATCAAAACCCAAAGGTACTAGTATTACTAGTGTTTCCTTTTTTTCATTGATAATACTTTTGTACATTTGCTCAAGTGCTTTACTGAGGTAGCCTTGAGGTAATTGTACCCGTTACTATGTTCAGTGATTCTAAATGTGGGGGACCCAACCCATACAGGGGTCGTGACATTTTAAACTGGGAATGGTTTTTTACATTAAATTGTCTGTGCCAGTGATAACAGCTGCTTAATGAGCCTTTCCACATGCAGCATGTTTCAAATGATGTAACTCACTGCCCACATACTGTTCATGTACTTCCATGTGTCCTTTACATGGGCATGGTTGTTCAGCAATACATCCACTAGAGGGAAGCTCAGAGTTGAGAGTTTCTGCAAACATGGCAACGATGGACGAGGTTGTGATTATATTCCTCTTAAGAAAAAGACAAGAGTGGCCGTGTTGTAAACTGTTTGTCCCTGTCACATGTAGTCTAACTAAATATTAATGTCTCCTCAGAAAGTTCTTGTTGAAATGCCATTGTTGAAATTACCACGGTATCCTATGGTACTGCTCCATTTTGTCCGTATCCGTGAGCTTTCAAAAGGCGTACACAAATACTGACAAATGTAGTACAGACAGTTTTTTTTTTTGTATCTACCTTCAAGCCCTGATAATGGATGTTATTGAGTGAGTTCCTGAGAGTCAAAGTCTGTGTGTGTAGAAGAGTGCTCGAACAAAATAAAAAATAAATAAAAAAGACAATGTGCCACCAAGATCGACTCCATTCCAGTCTCCTGCACCAGCCTGATTAAACTGATGGGTTGGGACTAGAGAAGGTTGAGAACCGCTGTTGTAGATCAAGCTACTCAGCATTCTTATATAAATTCATTAAAATAAACTTGATCATTACCAGATTCAACATTAAAGTGAACTTTACATTATTTCATTAGTATTATCATCCATTTTTATATTTTATTCTGTGTCTAGAGTAATCTTTTGTACTTTAACTACATTTTGTGCATAGTACTTCTGTACTACGTGGAGTGGATGACTCCAAAACTGCTGCTTTGAGCTTTAACTCTCCTCTCTACTGTGAAAAGTCAAATGAAAACCGTGGATGGACACTACACTGACACACAATACATCCTCACACATGCCCTCTGTTTGTGTACTCACTGTGGCGAGTAGTTGTAGTGAGGTTTGTCGTAGTTTGTGCTCTCATCATCCAGGTGGCTCCTGGAGCCTCTCATCTTCTCAGGGTACTCTCCCATCGGGAGCTCTTCATGGGGAGCGGACACATTGTTCACCTTCGGAAGAATAAAACGTAAGTAACGTGTACAGAATTGATTTAATGAAGAAAACACATCTAGATCGTATTCTGACACTGTGTGTCACAGCTGCAAGGATTAGTCAATTCATTCCTGTCTGCTTGTCAGAAGGTTTCGACCAAATCTAGTGAACAGGTTTCCACTAAACTTGGTTGAAGGATGGGCCATGGGCCTAGAAAGAAAACATCGACTTGTCATTCTGTTTTACTTTGTGAAATAAGGAATTTCCCAAGAAAATGCATGATGTTGATGAAAAAAATCCGGCATCTTCAGAGGACTGATATCTAGGAGTGTGTGTAATTTTAAGAAGCATGATTAAATTAAAAGTTCCTGAAACGAAACATCTGAAACATCAAGAAATATTAACTGACTCGATTACTGACGATCCATAAAAACAATCTTGATCCTCACACTAAATGCAGCTGCTTCAGTGACAGTGAACACTTGTCACAGTAATGACAGTTTGATGAGTGGCTCCCTGAAAACAAACATACTGCCTCTCGACAATGTCTGGTATGATCTGCCTGCATGGACTTGTCCTCTGAAAATATGGGACACACACACACAGAGCTACACCCTGCTGCACGCCTCCCAACAACATGTCTACATGCATGTGCTGCAGGGTGCTACACTCAAACTACCTCAGCACTTTCAGACCCGTTCCCACAAGCTACAGGAAAGTAAACGCAGCCTGTTCCCAGTGTCATGTTGCTGCTGTGGCGTTGGATGCCTGCTGGCTGGTGGGCTTTGTGGCGCAGAGGACCAGTCCGACCTGTTCTTCCTCTTCACTGCTCTGAGGACATGGCTGAGCTGAATGTCATCACGACTTGCACCTTTTTACAGAGTGACTCACCGGCTCATCACTACTTACTGGGTTAAGGAGAGTTGTGGCAAAGCACTTCTGTGAATAGCTTCAGACACCATGACTCATGACGGAATTTGCATCCTGATAATAAAATGCTTGAATATTGCGACAAGTCCAGGTTTTTATTGCTCTATCTCTTCCTGCTTTATGACAGGACGACATAAGATGGAAACTTCTCGTTGTGCACACGCCACACCCTGAAACCAAGCATGCTGCGAAGTAGGAGCCTGCTGCTAAAAACGTCCCCCTCCCCCGCTGACAAACAGGTTGTACAACTTCAAACCTAACCCAAGCACTCACAGTCACTGACACATGTAACTACCTGAAACAAGCAATTAGGATCAGCAGAGGCAGCTTCTTTAGATTTGATCCCCCAAAAATATACAGGGCTGATCCGCTCTAGATCAGAAATCCGTTGGCCAAAATGCAGCTATCATGAGATTCAATTAACTGTTATTCTTCATTACTGTTTTTTTTAAAACAATGAAATGACATCTTCAAATAATTCCGTTTGAACCAAACGTCTTTAACCCAATGACGCTGACTTCACTGTCATATTTTAGAAAATTCCATCCTCCAATTTGAGAACCTACAACCAGCTACTGTTTGGCTTTTTTTTAATCAATTATCAGAATTGTTCCTGACAAACTTCTAATTATTTAACTGACTAATTGTTGCCGCTCTGTAAATTTGATTCAATTATGAAGCAGCGATGTCAAATTTGTCTGAGTAATAGCTTCATAATTGTGAGGATTTCATTTCAACTTGGTTTTTTTCAGTTCAAATTTGAAATTGAAAGTTGAAACACCACAACACACCTAATCCTAGGTTACCAAAAAAAGAAGTAATGATCTTTTTTCCATCATGATAACCGGAATATCATTGGGCTTTGGACACAAGCTGATGTATTGGAGCTAGTAGTCAAATGATCAATGATAAACTCTGCAGAGTAACCCATCATGACACTTATCAATTAGTCTTTAAATTTGCTTAAAATGGTTAGACACAATTCAAGGTTAAGTCATAAAATATCTTGTTTTGTTTCAACTGTCCAAAACCCAAAAAACAAGTCCAAATTAATCTATTTTAATTTTTTTCACCCCCGGTAAACAACTATGGTCACGCACCCATGCCTCCACATCCTGAGGTGGCGCCATCTCGTCGATAACCTTCACTCTCCTCCACAGAATGTTGCTCTTGCCAAAGTTTCCAATTTTCTGGCGGGTCTTCAGAGCAAAGACGAGCATGATGATCAGAGCGATGGCGACCAGGAAGCCACACACCACAGCGATGGCCTGAAACGAGAGGTGACACTCCAGGTTAGAAGCAAATGGTCAGGTGCGGCTACTGGCATGAGAGGAGGAAGTCAAATGAGTTTGTTCACCTCCTGCGGTTCCACCACACAGTAGTGGTAGAGGTACTGATTGACCAACATTCCTGAAACCTGTGGTCGTTGGTACTGAGCACACAGGCCAGCAATCTGGTTGGAATAGACCGACCCAGAGGACTGCGCCATGGGGTTCACTGCCATCAAGTACACTATGGCGGCAATAAACATTAGCAGTGCTAGGATGGCACAGATGATTATCACTGCTAGGTAGAACCTTCTGCTCTCTGATAGGCTCTGATGGGACACAATGATGATGAAGATGACCAGGCAGGCGATGAAGGTGATGGCCGCCATGGCAATGATAAACCCTTTGCCTGATCGGGGGTCATTGTAGTTTCCTCCGATGCCACCATAGCCATAGCTGTTTCCAGCTCCATAGGCACCGCCTCCAAAGGAGCCATATCCGCCGGCGCCGCCATACCCCCCAGCGCCGCCATACCCGCCGGCGCCTCCGTAACCTCCTCCGTAGCCCCCCAAACCCCCAAAGCCAGACAGGCCTCCCTGGGTGTCCCAAGCCAGAGTGGAGGCTACGCAAGCAAATATGGCGACGCACATCACGATGGCTATGATGGACATGATTTTGAGGATGCCTGGCGGAGACGTCCAGCGGTAGAAATGCTGGAACTCATCATCTGGGTAGTAAGAATAGGCCGTCTGCGGGGCGGCGTTACTGTCAATTCAGACAAAAAAGTAATTATCAGAGTTTGCAGGTAAAATAATTGCATTAGCCTGAGTGAAGCAAAGAAAAGCAAACACGACACAATGATGAATCTATATCGATTAAAGGTCAAGTGTGTAGGGCTTATTTATAGGTTGAAAAGAAATAGAAATGTCAATGTGATGTTTTCAGTTGTGTATAATCAGCTGAAACTAAGAATCGCTTTCATTACTGTACAATGAGCATTTATATCGACCTCTAGAGCAGGTCTTCTTCCACATGTTCCTACAGGAGCTCAGACTGGACAAACTAAACTCTGCCTCCAACATTTGGCACTTTTACATTAGCTGAAAACCATTGTAGGTTCTTCTACAAGCTTGGAAGCGGAGGTAGGGGCGAGGGGTATTAGTACATTTTTTTTGTTCTTCCGAATTAATGTAACAGATTTGTTGAAAATAATTGTATTCATAAAACTATAATATACCATTGTATAATCTTAAACAGTATATATTACTCTATAAAAGTTGCTGAACATCAGTTGGTAATTTTTTTTGGATCGAAAAAGTTGAGTGCAAAAATTCAAGATAAAAAAATATTAGGACGATTAAAACAGCCAGGCCACCAATGACGTCTAAATATAATCTACCAGAACTCTGATCAATCAGATTACACTCTTTCAGCCACATAATCTACGAGACAAAAGCTCAGATAAGCAACTGGAAACTTTGGGAACCAAAAAAAATCAAAATCAAAATTTCTAAATCAAAAACTTAAAATTGACCACCCGCAAATTTAATGGAAGGGAATTTAAACCACATGAACAAATGTGGATGTTTTCTCAAAACTAAATATTCAAAGTAGGTATTTCATTTTCAACATTTGAAAAATAAATCATTGTTAAAGTCAACAAAAAAATCAACAATCGTGTCTTTTCTTTGCTTCCATGCCCAGGCTGATCATATACAGTCTGTCATTAGCTCATTGAGTATCAGGGCGAATAAACTGATCAACAACAGAAGACTTACTATCCCTCTTCCTCGTAGGGAGGTGGACTCCCATTGGGCCCCGAGGACATTGCTGCTGGATCCACTGAGTGCTGTCCTGTTAAAATCCAATCAAATCTGAAACAAGAGTTCAATAATTAGAAATGTACATTGATGTAAAAAAAAAAAAAATTCTCTTCAATGATCTGTGCAGGAAATAGTCACGAATTCCTGAAGACAGAGCAACACATTCTCACATTTCAGAAGCTCGAACGACAGATTTGTTCAAAACATTACTGATTGATTCATCAAACCTTTAGATATTCTTAGATATACAACTCCAACAGCAGTGTGTGAATTCACAGCATCGTCTGCATGACCACACCTGCCACCCGACGTGACAATGAAACACACTTGACTTCTTGTTTTTCAGTCGAACCATGAAACTACATGTTCCTGAGTGCAGCCGCCTGCAGCAGCTCGGCGCTGGGATGCGGTTCACTCTGCAGATCACCGATCCGCAGGTGTCTCCAGCAGCACGTCACCCATCCACAGCTCACAGGTTAATTTGATCTGAAATTGAAAATATCGAGTAAAAGACGCTTGTCCTCGTCACTCACCTGTTGCTCAGCGTGTCACCTGTTCGACTGAAACTGCAGCAGAGACCAACAACAGTCACACCCAAATCTGAGGCCGCACAAACCCCGCCCCCCGCAGGTGTTACGTTACCGAGCGACCAACCCCCCCCCCCCCCAGCCCCGACAGGAAGTACCTAAGTCAGGTCTCGTGACTCCTCTCCAGCTGCTGCAGGAAATGGAACTGTTGCTTTTACTTAAGTGAAGCATCAGACATTGAATCCAGGTAAAGCTGACAATCACATTATATATTTACAAAGAGCTCAAAGATAATGCTGATGCAGACTGAGACAAAACAAGGAGGAAGTGTAAGATTAACCCTCAAGCTCTCGTTCATCCCAACCTCCATCACACGACTCAATGAAGAAACAGCTTGCTTCAGCCATGTATCTCAATAAGCTTTGCACTTTGTCTGGCACATTTATACTCTTCATGAGATATCCCTTTAGTTTAGTTTTATTGTTTTATTGTAAGTGTATTTAGGTCAGGTGCAATATTCAACTCACCTTTATGCAGCATTATTATTCTGGGTTTTACATATGTCCTTATGAACGGTTTGTTGCTTTTGTTTGTTACACAATGCACTGATCTGCAGCTGCTGTAGCACTCCGGCCCAATTACAATAAAGTATATTGATTTGATTTGAATATTGTTAGTAGTATTATCAAATAGGATCGAAAAAATATATAATTTTGCTTTTAACACTAATCCCTAGATTAAATAAATAAAATCAGATTTAAATAAAATCAATATTTAAGTACTTTACATATGATGATATTACAAAAATAATATTAATAATAATTAACTTTATTTCTATAGCAACTTTCAAAGCCAGCGTTATAAGGGCCTTCACAAAATAAAATGTGCAAATCATAGAGAAGCCAGCTCATACCCAGCAATACAATAAAACAAAACAGATAAAAGAGAAACAATAAAATGTAAAACATATAAAAATAAAAAACTGTAAAAATGCCAATATATACAGCGGCGTTTTTTAATCATGAAATATTCTGTTCTATTCGTGTTCAGTCTGATAACCTTTGACTACACTGATGTCTGTTTCCAGTCTCTACAAATGAATAATACAAAATGGAAGCAGCTGACCCACATATCTTAACAGCAATCACTTCTAAGGTCATTTGAGGTGAAATGTTATTATTTCTATCTTGGCTAATTGTTGAGTTTAGAGTCATGATTATTTTCTTTACCAATTCATCAGACTTATTTTCTTCTTCTTCTCCTCTTCTTCTTGATTAAAATATTAGCAAAGAAAAATGCCGATGTGGCTTGTTTTGTCACAAACTCTAACATTTGGTAGGCTAACACATCAGTTTCAGTATTTTTGCTTGGAAATATGATTATCAAAAGAATCAATCAACCCAGATTAATCAACTCCTTTCAGTTTTACTTTGCTTAACTTCCCTTCGCACCTATTATTTACAGTAAAGAGAGAAATGGTATTGGATTGTTGATGAAACAGACAAAGACCAAAGACTCACTGCATAAACAGAAGTGTATTCTGAGGACAGGAAGCACCAAATGATCCTTTAAATTATGAAAGAATATGGACATTCACAGCAAAATATTTACAGTTACACTGGCACACATAAAACAATAGCCCATTCAATCAAGAGGTTCAGTGTGTACAGTGGCATCAAGAGGACAATATGGATATGCAGTATTTATACACTGCGCTTCTGTAAGTAAAAATAAAGTAAAAAATGTTTAATCTATGAAATGGAAGGACAAAGACACACTAAAGGACATGCACATTTCTCACTTAAGACATTTGTCAGTTGCATATTAAACAAAAGTGCAGTTCAAAAAACCCTAACTATCATCACAGCAGTTTAAGAAAACAACATGGGATTTGTCCAGACAAGCAGTGTTTTTTTCATTTCAGGCTGGGAAGTTGTGAAATCTATATTGACAGGTGACAAACACGAAGACGGACAGAAAGGAAGACACAAGTGCAGAGGAAGTAAACCTGGACAGCAATAATGCAGCAAATGTTATATTTATTCTTTTTTCTTATTCTGCCTCCTCGAACTGACAACATTTCCCACATTCAAATATGAAGTGGTTAGCCTATGATAAAATTCCAGTCACAGTATCTCACGCATGCACGCACACGCGCATTCTCACGCACACACACACACACACACACACACACACACAC